GCATCTAAAGGCTTGCCCTCTGATACCGTCCGCTAACCTATGCCCAAGACTTCATGCATTTCAAGCGGCATAGTCTGAAAACCAACATCCAAGACTTCTTAAGTTCCAGGAGATGTAGTCTAATCCTGGATCAAGGGTTTCCCCTATGATACAGTCTAAACACCTAAGCTCAAGGCTTCATGCATTCCAAGCAGTGTAGTCTAAGTCATGAGCACGTTGTACCGTGGGAGGTCTTAGGAGTTTTTGATTCTTTGCTAGGGCAACTTACTATCTTCTTGTTCCATAGAATGACACTTTCATAATTATCCATATCATCAGGGTAATTTGGTAATTTACAACTTTTAGAATATTTTATTACTATCTTCTTAGTCATTTTTTGGTCCTTGAGTATCTTGAAATTCCCACTAGATAAGGAATTAAATATCCAAAAAGTTCCTTAAAAATTGGAAAGTGACCTTTTTGTACTTTTGGCTTAGGTTTTTATTCCCAATACTTCTCCAAAGGCCTTAGTCCTTAGAGTTACTCATTAGTGTTTAGAAAAACTTGCTTAAGACCCTTTTCCTAGCTTAATCCTCTTAATTTCGTTATTGGATCCTTTTGGTCTTAAGTGGGTGGCTTTGCTTCATTTTTTGGGTGTTACACCTTCTTACCTCGATCGACCACCAACAAACAACTAAAAAAGAAACGTAGAAATTTAAAATAAACAGACGACTGGATTCCTTAGGATGACACCCTCTATGACCTCATAGTTCTCGAGCAGTGCTTCTTATCTTGACCAATAGTCAACAAACAATTTAAAACTAAATGTAGAAATCCAAAATAAACAGACACGACTGGATGCCTTGGGACGATCCCCGCTGTTACTGCATAGTTCTCGAGCAATTCTACTACAACACATGTTCATCGACAGCTCGATTCACATGAGTTACCACTAACATAGATATTTTGCTTCGAAACTCGGTCATACAACAAAAAAATTCAAACATGACAAGTAAAACATGTGAATCAAGTATATTTTACAACACAAAATATCAAAGTAAGTTTTCAACAACAAAAGCACATGTACTTAAAACAGACTTAGAAAAGGTTTCCTTGTTGTCTCGAGCCTGCTGGTCTCGTCCTCGATTGGCCTGCAACTTCTTATTTGGCCAAAAAAGTTAAAATAATCTTGATAAGTAATTAATTTATTTAATAAATAGCTAACTTGTCATTCACAAGTTTATTACTTATCATTCTAGTTGTTCTTAAGTTTTATTCTCAGTTAATTCCTAGTTTCTTTTACTTGGATCATTTGTAAGTTAGTAAGATATTTCAATTACCTCTCCTTAGGTTACTTCTATATGGTTATTTAGAATTTTAAGACTAGTATGTAAGACTCACTCTCAATCAATTACTGTTCGTCTACTAATTTCTTTAGCAGCATGTAACATCATATATACCAAAGGATAGAAATATTCATTGTTCCTAACTTAGCACACATCGCGTCGGTCAGGAACTCTGCGAGGATTAGTAGACTACAATACTCATATTTTAAATCTTCCAATAATTTGTTTTGCGATAAATGAAAATGCAGCAAAAATGAGAATCAATATTTGCTTTACCATGGTTAGAAGAAATATCTCTCTGAAAGCACAAAATATTATGGACAAGGTCAACTAAATTGACAAGCATTGAAAGACCTTGATAGCATTTCTGACGCTTGCCTATTGTGTATGTATGTTACGTGACAAAATTTAGTGCATCTAGAGATATTTTTGCCCGTCATAATCTAGCTTTGAAGCCCCAAAGCCCCCCATCTCCCTTATATTTCTTATTCCCCATTTGCTTCCCTACTCCTTCATTGGCACCCTCTTTCTTCCATTTTTTGTGTTTTTCTCACCGTGAATGGCTATCCATTTTCAGTGTTCGAGGGAATTTGCTACTTTTTGGGTTTTCTCTCTTTTTAAATATCTTTTTGTTTCCTTTGTTCATAAATTATGTTGTCAGTTTAGGTTCATTTTGTTGGTGTTATTATAACACGTGCAGAAGAAATTTGGATCTTAGGCACTCTAAGTACATCAATTATAGTAAATTAGCTAGCATGTTCAAAATCATTGAAACTTATTGAGTTTGAATACTGACCTTTTTTAGTTCAAATTCATTCTTCCAAACGAATGGTTTCGAACCACCGCTAGTGTCTTTCGTACTATTCTCCGACCTTAGAATAAGATTGTGGAATCCGGTGAGTGATGAAACTTGATAGAAATTTAGTATAGGTAAAGAGAGAGTTTTGAGAGATTTTTTCAAAGTTTTTGAAGAAGAATTTCCATGTACATTGATCACTCTATTTATAGAGTCATATTTGCATGTTCATGCAAATTTGAGATTACCAAATTTTGGCACTCAAAATTCCACTCTAATTTGTGGGATTATGTGGCAAGCATACCATATATTGACCCTCAATATTCCACTAACTCAAGCATGAATTTTTTCATTAGGTGGAGTAAACATTTTGACTTTCTTTATTTAATCTAACAATTAATTACGAATCAAAATAATATTAAATGATTAATTAAAAATTTTAATTAATATTTAACATTAAATAAAATGTCAATTCCAATTAATTCCAGCACATATTGAGTATCTATCACTATTCATAATTAAAATATTTAAATCTTATTTAAATATCTTCAATTCTCTTTTTTTGTTCAATTCATAACTAAAAAAAATGAGGTTAAATATATCGTATATATTTAGCGTGTATTCACTAATTCTAATTCGAAAACTTTGAACTCACTCGTCACACTGTTCTAAGGTTTCGTTCGATATGAGCTACCAGAGGGACCTTATGGACCTACATCTCATGGGCTCCAACGATCCGAGATTAACCGGCTAAACTCATTAACCTTGTTATCCAACATTCGTTCACTACTAGGACACTCCATTGTAGCCTAGTTGTTGCACTTCTCTCACTATAGATATATTTCGGTCCATTTGATATAACCATAATTAGTAAGTCGATCCTTCACAGGTTGATCGTAACTAGAGCTGGGTCAATTTAAAGTTTTACCCCTAAAGTTACTTTTTGTTCCTTAAGTCTCACTGATCCTCTAATGAACAATTGGTTTGTGGTTCAACCACCAAACCGAATCCCTCTCGGGCCCATGAGAGGGTGGGGCTCCTCGTTCAAGACTTGGAGTCAGTACTTAAGGGAACAACCTCTCTACTATCCCTAAAAGTGGGTAGGAGTGAATTCCATCATACACCCTATGTCCTCAACTATTCATCCAGTCTTACCCTTAAAATGGGAGGCTTACTGAGTCGACGAACTCGGGCCACTCTCACCCATGAAAATCTAAGGATAATTTCGAATAAACTAGAGTTCATAGTTAGCTCAGGATTAAGATCGAGTTACCTAGGTCATAAATGAAAAAATCAGTCTCAATAGTAAACGACATTATAAAGTGAGAGAGGTTTTTTTCATGGTCCGATCTTATGCAATACTCATTGCATAGGACGCTCCCATTCACATGTCTCTAGATGTACAATTTAGTGATCACATTGTTTATATCATATACAAAAGTTGGTCGCATCCATAGTGTCCCCAAAATAAGGTACTCAGCCTTATCCCTGTACAATAACTCATTTTGACTATATACTTGAACTTGATCCACTCTTGTGTCTCTACATATAGTTCAAGTAATCATACTATAGCCAGAGTGTTCTTAGTTTATTGGATTTAGATTAATGATCGTAACATTTACTTTATTCAATAGTAATCTTTAATAAATAAATATCAATAATAACTTTATTGAAAACAGAATATGTTTTTGTTTACAAACTATGAGCAAGACTAAGTAACAATGTTAGATTCAATAGAAAAGGATGGATAATCTTTAATAATATTACCTATGAAATCTCATCAAGAATGCTTGATTAAGACTAAGTAACAATGTTAGAAAACTCAAAGATACCCCAAAAATGAACTAAAAAATTATAATTCACTGAAAATTATTAAAACATTATAACTCAATTCAAGGGTTTTGATTCAATAGAAAAGGATGGATAATCTTACCCATGAAATCTCATCAAGAATGCTTGATGATTAGAAATCACGAACCTCCATAATAGTATAATATTGTCCACGTTAAAAAATAAGTTCTAATTGTTTTACTTTTGGTTCCGTAAAAGGCAACACACCCTAGACATCACACCAATGGAAATAGTAATTCTTACGTATAACAATAAGCAGTTAGGATTGCCTATTGGCTTGTTGGCTTCATTCCCCTTTCCACACCCTATTGGCTTGTTGAGTGGGCATCATCGTATTGCCTGAAATGATTCTCACATAGGCTTGTAGTTGGATTTATTTGAGTTATCGGTGCTACTGGAGGTGTGCAGCCTAAGGTAGCACAACTTAAGGTGCGTCCGCCCTAGTCACTAAACCTTCACGAGGTAGGCTATCTTCACCACCACCTTTTCCTCTACCTCTAATACAAGGTCATCTCCTTCCTCGTCATTCTCTTTAGTGTCCTTTATCTGGCATGATGCTAAAACCAATATATAATTTCTTAAGTCTATATCTCTCTAACATAAATTGCATCATATCACATATAATCACAACATATAATTTAGTAAACATGACATATTCATAAAAAATACAATTAGGTAGAACATAATGCTTCCATAAATCATATAGTTAGATCTCCACATATTTGATACTAAATTACATTCAATATTAGTAAACAAAAAAAAAGTACATGCAATTAAAGACATTTCTTTATCTTATCTTATACCAGACATACCTGATGGTGACAGGACATCGATGGTGAAATCATGGAACGTTGCAAGCCTATCTCGTAGGCAAGTCTACCGAATCTATAACCTAGAGCTCTGATACCAACGGTAACGACCCTAGATTTCTATTAGCCTAAAGTTTCCATCGTCATCATATCCTATGCTCTTATACGAAATTAAGCATTTAAACTTCATCTTAAAATAGTGTCATGGACTTACTCATTTGAAAGAGTCTTTAAAACAACATAAATAAATAGTAACTAGAACCATTAAAACATGAAAGTAAAAATGCCCTATACTAACCTATGCCTAAGAAAATTAAATACTACTATTCTATGCATGTGTCATTATCTCTATTTGTGATGTCCTCGTCAGTTGTATAGGGGTGTCTAGCTCTTACCTAAAATAGAAGTAGCACAAGGTTTGAGTATTTTAAGGAATACTTGACCCCACTATTGAGGCTAGGAATGCAAACACATGGAACTAATGATCTTAAGAACCTATTGTTAAAAATATCATAGGGGTAGCACAAGGATATTCAGGCCACTTACTTGGTTGGTATTGGCAGACATTTTCTTTAAACTCAAGTACGTTTGAATTTTGTCTCTCGAAGTTACTCCAAGTGTTGTCAGGAGTTGTTTCCTATTAAAACGCCCATCTCATTTCGTTAGTAATTTACATTTCTAATCTAATTTAACTTGAACTTCAGAAATAAGACTTTATACTGCACTTAAATATTTCTATTAGAGTAAAAATAAGCTTTGGGAGGGCAAAAATTGTAAAGGTCGTTGTCAAAATTTCAAACCGAGCCTAATACGCCATTTTTTAGCCTAGGACTCCGAAATGCCAAACCGAAGGAGCCGGTGTATGCAACAGTGACCCTGTCGCTGAGGGACAACGACATATGAGCAGGTTTCGAAGTGGTTCGAGACGCAGGTCTCGAATGTTCATGTGGGTGCACAGGTCTGTGTAGTGGATCCGTGGGTTGGACTGTGTTATGTGCATTTGGGCTTGAATGTGGGTTTTTGGGCAAAGCACAGAGGAACTAGACTACTGGACTGGTTGTTGGTGGGTATCAGGTTGTGGTGTTGGGTATCTAGTTACTATACCAAACTGCGTATGGGGTTGCTCGACTAGAATGAGGTTGCGGGTATTCGAGTTTGGGTCCGAGCAGGTGGACTTCGTCTTCTTCACTCATTTCCACGCATTTTCCTTTCTTCATTCCTTCGTATAAAAACTCGTTGTCTACATCCTATTTCTTCTCCTTCATTCTCATGGTGTTAACCGTCTTTGTAAGTTTGATCCTACCCCTCTATCTCCCTAGTGTTGTGTACGTTGGATCCCATGGTCGTCATCTCGACATCGTCATTTGTGCAGAGGTGCCTTGCATTTACCTAAAAAATAAGAGTAGCACATGTCTTTAGTATTTTAAGAAATACTCATTAAGTAACCCCACTACTAGTATAGGGTAATGCAAACACGTGAAATCATGGTTATCAAAAAATATCATTTCATGGCCTTGGTCTCATATTCGTTTCGGGTAGAATTTGATGTGCAGTACTTCTCTACTCACAACTTATATACACAAACATTAACTTGGGCTTCAACTAGCATACGCTCACGCTGTTGGTATACCATGGAGGGAAGGGAGTGCACATAGTATTGTGGTGTATACAATATCGTATCATAACATCATTGTTAACATAAATATCGTAAGGTACGTGTCCGTACTAATCATGACGGGGAGGTATTTCAGTACACATGAACATATAATATGAATTAGATCCCAATAGTTTAAAATAATGGCATATAACTATGAATAAGGTAGTGCACAATGTAATACCATACTTTCATATCATGTCACGTTCCTCAATGACACAACGTGTCAATATGATATTCCATAACTTATATATCTCATCATTACAACAAGTCATAACATAATAAGAAAATATAACAATCAAAAGGTATGACACTTGTAACCGTCACTAGGCATGCGCCGACAATTAATCAAACAAGTCACCTCTAATTTACCTTCAATTCATAGTAAGCTTATTCCCGCCGCTGAGCTCACAATTAATCAAACAAGTCACCTCTAATTTTTACCCTCAATTCATGGTAAGCTTATTCCCAACACTAGAAGGATTAATCAAACAAGTCACCTCTAATTTACCTTCAATTCATGGTAAGCTTATTCCCAACACTAGAATGAGGGTTTAAACCTTTGACCTTGTGGTTAACAGCCACACACTCTAACTAACTGTGCTGTTCGAGGTAATTGTTTGTAATAGCTCAAGCCCACCAGATCCTTATAAGAAATGTTTCATCTCCTCTCCAACCAATGTTGGATCTCACAATCCACTCTCCTTGGGGGCCGGCGTCTTCGCTCGCACACCGCTTTGTGACTAACTTTGATATCTTTTGTAATAGCCTAAACCCACCGCTAACAAATATTGTCCGCTTTTGCCCATTACGTATCATCATCAGTCTCACAATTCTAAAACAAGTCTATTAGGGAGAGGTTTCCACACTCTTCTAAGGAATGCTTCGTTCCCATTTTCAGCCGCTAAAAAATATTGTCCATTTTTACTCATAACAAATCGTCATCAGAATCACAGTTCTACAACACGCTACTAGAGAGATGTTTACAGACATCATAAGTTATTCTTCATTCTTCTCTCAAACCGATGTGGGATCAAAGGGCATGGGTTCAAATCCCACGTTTGACAATTTAAATAAAGGTAAAATAAAAATACAATTATCACGACATGATTTTCCAAGCATCTAAGAAATTTAGTGTTCTTCAAGTTTACCCTTACGCCCGAATTTCAAGGACACTGTGATTTTCTGTACCGCCTGGGTGNAAGAAATTTAGTGTTCTTCAAGTTTACCCTTACGCCCGAATTTCAAGGACACTGTGATTTTCTGTACGGCCTGGGTGCATAACAAATGGTGAGTTGTGAGCCTCCAACAATATCTCATTCCATAATTTCTCAATTGTTGGAATATATAGGCGTCCTTGACATAACCCTTCAAAGAAACTGTGTACTCTACCTACTACTCATAATATATATATATATATATATTTGGCATGTTTTGGTCTTCTTGTAAGATATTTGACAACTAATCTCGAGTTGCAAATCATTTGATCTTCCAGGAGTCATATATGCCATATAGTCATATATTACATATTCGTCAACTCACCTATTGCAATTTGAATCGATAGTAGGGGAAATGGTAAGTGTATAACTAAATTACCTCATTTCTGGTATGCTTAGAAGAGTTAAACTACGTGGCACCAATGGTCGGGAATAGCTTAGATAAGCTAAATAGGGCACAACTGTAATAACTCAGTTTTAAAGACTTCAAAGCACAACTATAATAACTCAATTTTCAAGACTTCAAATCCATTATTCATGACACATCGTGACACAGAAAAAAATTCATAAAATTTGGAACAAGTTTCGAAAACTAAGTACAACAACTCGTAACAAATAGAACTGACGTGACAAAGAAAAATTTTGATAAAAATTGGAACGAGATTCGAAAACTATGGACAACAACTTGTACACATACATAGAACTGACGGCTCGAGACGACCCTCCTCTGTGACCTTAACTAATAATTAGTGATCACCCTAAAAGGAAAAGTAATATCTAGTGCAACTAAATAAGTAACCTACTTGTAGG